TACATACATACATACATACATACATACATACATACATACATACATACATAGTGAGGTGAGTGAGGCTAGCCCAGGTTATATGAGATGCTGCCTTAAAAAAAGGAAACAGCAACAAAAGTTTGAAAGGTCCACAAAGGGACCCCTATGATCTTTTATCATTAAAAATTATTCTTATTTAAAACTGTGTTCACTGATTTCCAGCTTTTTATTTGTTTGCTTGTGTTTGAAGACAGGGTTTCTCTGTGTAACAGAGCCCTAGCTGTCCTGGACCCACTTTGTAGACTTACAGAGATCCACCTGCCTCTGCCTTTGGAGTCCTGGGATTGAAGATGTGCACTTCCACATCTGGCTCAACCCTTTATATTTTGTTTGTTTGTTTTGAGACAGGGTTTCTTTGTGTAATCTCGGCTATCTTGGAACTCACTGTGTAAGCCAGGCTGGCCTCAAACTCACCTGCCTCTATCTGCCTCTTTCTGCCTCTTTCTGCCTCTTTCTCCCCAAGTGCTGGGATTACAGGCATGTGCCACTGCACCCAACTTGTCAACTCATCATTTTTTAAATTTTTTTTATAATTAATTTATTTTTTTAATTAATTACAATTCTTTTTGTTTCCCAGCTGTAGCCCCCTCCCTCTGTTCCTCCCATGTTCCCTCACAGTCCCACCTTTCCTTCCTCTGTTCCTCCCATGCCCCTCCCCTAGTCCACTGATAGGGGAGGTACTCCTTCCCGTCCATCTGACCCTAGCCTATCAGGTCTCCTCAGGACTGGCTGCATTGTCTTCCTCTGTGGCCTGGTAAGGCTGCTCCCCCCTCGGGGAAGTGATCAAAAAGCCAGCCACTGAGTTCATGTCAGAGACAGACCCTGTTCCCCTTATTAGGAACCCACTTTTAGACTGAGCTGCCATGGGCTTCAACCCATCATTTTCAAAGCTTTGTATCACAAAGTTAATTTTCATCTCAAATGCCATGTTACTGTGTGTAATTTAGAAGACGGTAAACAGTAAGTGGTTAGAACTGTAACAGGAAAATACAGTAGAGGAAATAATTGCATGTTTGTATGGTAGTTTCAACTGTGACATGTGAAACAGTAGGTGTGACTGGCAGTATCCAGTGAAGCAAATCTACATGTAGGATTAAGGGAAAGGTAAAAGAGCATGTTACCTGCAATGTCTTTCTTTTATCTATTTTCTTTTTAAAAAGTAGTCCAGGCCAGCATGTGCTTAACTAATTAAACAATATGCAAAATAAGAGTACTATATATATCTTACTGGCGTGTTTTTAGTTTTGGTTTGGGTTTTTTTCTTTGTTGGTTGGTTTTGTTTTGTTTTGTTTGACATGGGTCTCACTATGTAGCCCAGGCTGGCCATAAGGAACTCATAGAGATCTGCCTGCCTCTGCCTCATTGAGTGCCAGGATTAAAGGTGTGAGTCACTACCTTATTCTTTGCTGGTATTTGTTTATGCACAAAAATGTTCCCACAATTTTTCAGTAAAAGAATGTAATGTGGGTCTGGAGAGATAGTTCAGTAGTTAAGAGCCCAGTCTTTCTAGCTGAATTCCATCTTCAGCACCCTCATTGGGCAGCTCATCACCACCTGTGGTTCCAGCTCCAGGGGATTCAAACTCTCTTCTGTCCTGTGAGATCACTGCACACTCGTATACACATACCTTCCCACAGGCACATGTACATTTATAATTTTTAAATCTTTAAAAAAGAATATAAGGTTAAATGTGGTATTATACACCTTGAGCCCCAGCACCTGGGGTGGGGGGAGGTGTGTCTTTGTAAGTTTGAAGCTAACCTGGGCTACATATTAAATTCCAGACAAGCCAGGGCTATACATCGAGAGGCTGTCTCAAAATAATAATAATGAAGAAGAGGAGAAAGAGGAGGGGGAAGGAAAGGAGATGTGTGGTCTTCTAACCATCCTGTAGTTCCAAAACCCAGAGATAAGAAACTATTTTAAAAATCATGTTGGTTAGTAAACCAGTACCTGTTGCTCAGAGCACTTGGCAGATAGCGCAGGTATGACCTGGAGCTTATTTTTACTACCACCGTCTTCTCAAATCCTTGAAAGATACTGGAAGCTCTCTCTAGAAGAAACATAGGAGGCCTTATTTAAGAAATGATCCACTCTCTTAGGGTGTTCTTTGGCTTCACAAGTTCTTGACTCACAGAACACTTCACTGTGAAAGTGCGTACCCATGGTGGAAGAGATAGATTATAAAAACCATAGTCTTTCTGTCCTTGTACCTCAGAAATCAAATATGATACACAATATAATATGAAATGTTATATATACTCACACATAAGGGATCGTTTTAACTGTACATGGTTAGTTATGGAAACCTAGAATGAAATTTCTGGGATTTTAAATATTAATTTATACTATTTGTGGGTTTTTTTTTTCTTAGTTTCTGCCACTGCCTTCTACAAAGCACAACCTGTAATTCAGTTCATGTGTGAAGTTCTTGACATTCATAACATTGATGAGCAACCCAGACCCCTGACTGATTCTCATCGGGTAAAATTCACTAAGGAGATAAAAGGTGAGTTAATTATTATTCAGAAGACTATACTTTCCGATATCATTTTTATAGATTGTTACTAATTAGTATTTAAAACAGCTTACCTATAAAATGCATGGATAAGACAACTTTCTATTGAAGTATTTTTACAATTTGGATCAATCTCTGTAATATGAGCAATAGAATATAGATTCATTATAAAATGTTACATCAGATCCATTACCATAGCTTCTTAGGTAGTGGTCAAATGAAGAATATGCTAAGTACTCCAGCTATGTTTTTGTGAATACTGTCCCATACTAGCTATAGCTAGAGAGATGAGAGTGTCTCATGGGAAATGTTTCTCTAATACTTTTCTTTTTAAAGTAAGGATCTTATCTTTAAAATATTGTTTAAAATATTTGACTTGCTCTTTGAACATATTCTAATTAATTATCTCATTGTTTTTCTAAAATTACAGTTTTTTGAATCTTATTTCTTTAGAATTTTAGAATATGGAGTTTACCAGTTTCATGTGTTTTTTCAGATTGCACCTTCACTATTAATGTACATTTTAAAGGTACCTACCTGTCTTATTAATCTTTACAGTGGTGTTGCATCTTATGTTCATTAAACTAAAAAAGCACTTTTTGTGGGCCCTCAAACTAAAATTCTTTTGAAAGTGTTATGATATATTCTGTGCATATTTTCTCCTTCAGTACATTTTAAAAATTTATTTATTTCATATATATTTGGTGTTTGGCATGCATATATGTCTGTGTGAGGGATTTGGATCTACTGGAATTTGAATTACAGACCAGACAGTTGTGAGCTGCCATGTGGATGCTGGGAATTGAACCAAAATCATCTGAAGAGCAGCCAGTGCTCTCAACCACTGAGCCATCTCTCCAGCCCCACTTCTGTTCATTTTTAAGTGCATTTACTGCTTTGTGTTCAAACTCACATATAACTGTACTTTATCAGCAATTTCAGGAATTTTTAATTTTTAAAAAAATTTTTAAAAAGGTTGTACATGCCTTTAATCCCAGCACTCGGGAGGCAGGCAGACCTCTGTGAGTTTGAGGCCACGCTGGTCTACAGAGTGAGTTCCAGGACAGCCAAAGCAATACACAGAGAAATGCTGTCTGGAAAAAAAAAGTAATTTGATTGTATACAATTTTTTCCTTATTTATGATTTTACTATCTAATCCTCACATAAGATGTAACTCCACTGTATTTAGTGCTATAAATAGACATGAAGGAGAACCAGACATTATCTGGTAAGGAGTAGCAGACTTTGTCTATATTAAATGTTACATCTTAAATAGACAGAAATAATTATGTTTTTTTATTTAAAGGTTTTACCTATTTGTTGCAGATAATTTTCAGCTTGTGGTTTGAATGAAGCATTCAAGTTTGTTCACTGAACATCTTTCAGTTCCCAAATCAATTAGAGTAGGTGAATACATCCTGCTTGTTCCAGTTATCATCCATTCTTTGCCATTCAGTAACAACAAAAAAGGAGATAGTCATTGTAGTAAAACATTAAAAGGAAAACCCTTCCTGTTTTGTTAATAAGCATACATCTATCTCAAGTTATATAAGTGACAAAATAAGAACTGTTAAAGATGAGTGTTTTGCAGCCATGTCATTGTCCTTTCATGATCTGTTTGACCTGCAGTTAGCATTGTCAGGAGCTTAGTGCATTACCTACCATCATATATGTGATCATCCACGTGCCATGGTTTCTAGTGGAGTTGCTGCTTAGTTACCACCTCTGGTATCATGCAATCACTTACATTATTTTTCGGTAACTATGCAATCAACTCATATGCCACTCTATCACAGAAAATACAAGATGTACAGAACAAGGATTCAACTGCTGCCCGAAGAGCATGGACTCGGTCTTAACTTCAACTGCTCAGGGGCCCAAAGAAATGACTGAAAATTCACTAGAAAGCATTTTAAAGTTGATGTTATAGTGAAGGTAAAGCCAAGTTTATAGGTTAAATATTTATTAAAGCCAAACTTTTTGGTTGGATGGAGGGTTTGGGGAGGGATCTGGGCAAAGAATTATCTATTCCATTCTTTATAATTTTGACTTTTTGTTAGCCCCTAGATTTGGTCTAATTGTTAGGTATGATCTATGATCTTAGATTTGGGACAGAAAATATGGGTTGGATCTAATTAATAAACTAGTATTTTTCCTCCATTCAAAGTCTAGAAGACTTTCTTTAAAAAGAGGTCTCTTTAAAGTACATTATGTGTTCCTATAACAGGAACTAAAAAGGAATAGAGTTTTGTCTTCAGTAATGTTTGGGTTTAAGTTTTAATGAATTTGATGATAGCTGCTAAATACTGTTATAAATTATAATATAATGAATATAAATTTTAGTATATTGATTATATTCCAATTAAACTTACCTCCAACTGGTTAGCAGTAACTTTGGAGTGGCTTGTTTTTATCAATAATTCATGGTACTTTCACAGTATGAATATTGGGAAAAATGTATGATAATTTTATACATATAAAAAAACACTAATTTGGGCCAGGTGTGGTGGTGCACACCTTTAATCCCTGCACTTGGGAGGCAGAGGCAGGCGGATCTCTCTGAGTGTGTACAGAACAGCCAGGGCTGTGTTACACAGAGATACCCTGTCTCTAAAAACCGATAGATAGATAGATAGATAGATAGATAGATAGATAGATAGATAGATAGATAGATAGAT